GAGAAGAGTCATCTACAGATTCTTCTACGGAGAGCTATAACAGTTCTAGTGATCAGGACGCTGAGAGTGGAAACAATGACACTGGGACAACAGACAGCTACATGTTAGCTCGAGATAGAGAAAGAAGACAGAACGTGAGGCCTCCATCTCGGTATGAGGATGGGAACTTTGTGGCTTACGCGCTCAATGTCGTTGGGGACCTCGAAGTTGAAGAACCAAAATCATATTCTGAGGCTATGAAAAGCCGTCAAAGAAAGTTGTGGAGGCAAGCAGCTGAGGAGGAGATGGAATCTCATAGGAAGAACCGAACCTGGGATCTTATCGATCGACCAGCAAAGGCAAAGCTTGTAGGGTGTAGATGGCTATTCAAGCTAAAGCCTGGCATTCCAGGTGTGGAGGATAAGCGATACAAGGGCAGACTAGTTGCTAAAGGGTATTCTCAGACTGAAGGGGTTGACTACAATGAGATTTTCTCACCAGTTGTTAAGCACGTGTCTATCAGACTTATGCTCAGTATTGTGGTAAACTTAGACTTGGAGTTGGAACAGATGGATGTCAAGACTGCTTTTCTACATGGAAGTTTAGAAGAGAGGATCCTAATGGACCAGCCTGAGGGATTCATAAAGCCAGGAACAGAGAACAAAGTGTGCCTACTAAGGAAATCCCTGTATGGGCTAAAGCAATCTCCAAGAAGATGGAACCATCGGTTCAACAGCTTCATGAAGGATCAATTGTTTGATCGCTGCAGCAAAGACCTATGCGTCTACATGAGAGATGTTAACACCGATAAAGCTATCTACTTACTCCTATACGTAGATGACATGCTAATAGCGTCTGGAAACAAAAGAGTGATCAAAGACCTAAAGGANATGGGCTAAAGCAATCTCCAAGAAGATGGAACCATCGGTTCAACAGCTTCATGAAGGATCAATTGTTTGATCGCTGCAGCAAAGACCTATGCGTCTACATGAGAGATGTTAACACCGATAAAGCTATCTACTTACTCCTATACGTAGATGACATGCTAATAGCGTCTGGAAACAAAAGAGTGATCAAAGACCTAAAGGAGAAACTGAGTGGGGAATTTGAAATGAAGGACATGGGAAAAGCTTCAAGAATTCTTGGGATGGACATCACCCGAGATCGAGAAAAAGGAACACTAGTCCTATCTCAAAGTAAGTACATTGAAAAGGTCCTAAAAACTTTTGGAATGCAGGATGCAAAACCCGTCATTACGCCTACTGCATCACATTTCAAGCTGAGAAGCCTAACAGAAGATGAGTGGAAGGTAGAAGCATCACAGATGGAAAGAATTCCCTATGCGAGTGCAGTGGGAAGCCTAATGTATGCTATGGTTGGCTCTAGACCTGACCTAGGATTTGCAGTGGGATATGTTTGTCGATTTATGAGTAAACCGGGAATGGAACATTGGAAAGCTGTTCAGTGGGTCTTAAGGTACTTAGCAGGAGTAGTGGATTCAAACTTAACGTTCAAAAGGAATTCTACACTCCTAGTGGAAGGATACTCAGATTCGGATTATGCGACAGATATGGATAGGAGACGATCAGTGACAGGTTATGCATTTAAATTTGGTGGCAACACAGTATCATGGAAATCATGTTTGCAATCAGTAGTAGCCCTATCAACTACAGAAGCAGAGTACATGGCAATGAACGAAGCAGCAAAAGAAGCAATGTGGTTAAAGGAAATTTGTTCAGAATTGGGTTTCAAACAACAAAGTATAAAACTCTACTGTGATTCACAAAGCGCTCTAGCCCTAGCAAGAAATCCAGTCAACCACGAGAAGACTAAGCACATAGCTACCAAATTCAATTTTATACGGGACCTAGTGGAGGCAGGTGACATTAACCTAAACAAGATTCATACTAATGTTAACCCTGCAGATTTTCTGACAAAGACGGTACCTGGTCAGAAGTTCCAGCTTTGCTGTGAGCTTTTGAACATTCACTGATAACGCAGAGGAAGCTCCAGGTGATTCAAGTTGACAGACTCCATCCATGCGAAAACAAACAACCAAACAGACGGGGTTAGTGTTTCGGTAGAAAAACAAGTGTCAACAGGGAATGGTGGTAGAAATAAATCACCTGGAGCATAATATGAATCGGGTATGATACTCGGTTCAGGTGGAGTCATTTGTACCATTCGACGAAGTGATTGTCTAGTAAGGAGAACAAGACAACTGATGGTTAGTAAGCAAGCCCGAGAAACATCTGAGAAAGAAAGGGTTTGTATGTGTTCAGGAGCCTACCACAGTATTAACGACGCTGTGGCAGTTGGATTGAGAAGTAGATGTCAAGTCAGAAGCAACCGGCGACTCGTCATAAAGAGCATAGGTGACGCAGGTGAAGCCGTTTCCTGAGACATCAAAACTGGGTCAGATCCACAGAAGACCTAGCGCATGTAGGATGAAGAGAAAGGCCCTCACTTGACTTACAGAAGAGGTGGAGTGGGGTGCTAAAGCTCGGACGCCGAAAAGACAGAGTATGTCGAAGATCAGTCACGATGGCAGATGGCGACGAGAACCGTCTACAAAGACATGCAATGGAGTCAAACACGAAGTCAGCAAAACAGTTACAAGATTCTCTTAATACCCTTAACAGATGATCCTAACTTCTTAAGAACAGAAGGAGTTAGATGTACCTGAGGATAGTGAAAGAGAAAGGTGACAGGGTCACGGTTGGCGCAGCTGACTATCGCTCACGGAAGAGAGAAGACACAACGCCATCGAGGTGGAGAAGTCGAGGCTTTCACTTACGGAGCGACGGTTGTGAGATGAGACAGCCAGAGATCTATCTCGTTGGAACTGAATCCATGCCGGTGGAGAAGGTTCGCGGAGACAGAGAGAAGGGGAGGAAGAGAGAGAGTCAAAATGGAAAAGAGACTTTCGATATTCCCAAAGACAAAAAGACAAAGAGACTAGAAATGGGTCTGTCGGCAGAAGGAGTAGAAATAAGGCAAATGGGCTTTATTAAAACGGTGGAGATTTGTGAATGTGTTTTAACTAAAGCCCATACTCGTCATGGGCTTTTACACAAGGTGGTTTGGTGCTGGATCAGTATCAGCCCTAAAGCCCACCTAAGTGTACCTCGCCCTACAATCGTATATAACACAAGTTAGTACGTATGATTATGCGACGGCAGAAAAAAGGAAACATCAGGGTTTACAGCAACAGGGGTCAGATCAGGATATTGAGCAAGAGACAACAATACAAGATACATCGCTTAGGCTTAAGTCTATTTTATCTAAGGGCTTTGTTGTGGTTCTCTAGCTTGGAGTATTTGATTCATTGTAAACAATCTAGCTCACTATTTGGTGGTGCTAGTGTCTCTTTGATCTAGTGAAGTTTGGGAGCAGAAGTTCTCCCACGAGACGTACCGGTTTGAGGCCGGGAACTCGTTAAATTGACTGTGCATTTACTTTCAGTTTATAGCTAGGTCGAAGTGTCTTGGCACCTAAGTAACCATAACCTAATAATCTCTAACATTAATATATCTACTGAAGGTATTAAATTCTTTTGCTTGCAGGCCTTCTTGGAAAAACAGAGCTTCCAAAAATTCAAGAAGACACAGAGACTACACAGTTCTTCATGTACACCCAAATCAAATGCAGTATTTTGAGGAAAACCCATTGACAAAAAAACACAGAGAAGTGACTGGCTTATTGCAGAGTAAGATCTCTCTCTGTCATTGAGTGCTTGATGCCCTCAAAAGTCAAAACCTAGGCTTATCATATCTCTCTGTATCTACAAAGCCTACCTAAAACCGCTTGATATTTAAATACTCCTGCAGCTCACGGTATGGGACTAACCGATTAGAGCAAGAGTTGTAAACAAAAAAAAATACAGATTCAACAAGTGCAACTTCACATGGCAAATCTGTAAACATATATAAAGTTTATAAACAAATATAGATTAGATCAATAAACATATATATGCTCGCATTGTTTCTCTTCTTGCTTCCAGGTGGTTTTTCGATGTTGGATATGTTTTAAACATATCTCAAGCTCCAATGACGTGAACATATGACTTTTCACGTAAGCTACAGTTAGTTGATCAAAATAAACTAATAAAGTTAATACAATAGCTCATATGGAAGAACTCTAGCTCACTGGTGGCGAGAGAGATTACATTCAATGTTCTTTACGATGTGTTTGTTCTATTGTTGCTAATTAACTCACTGATTAAAAAAAACTCCAATTTATCCGAGGCTTAACAAAAGAGAAGGTTTGGTTATTTGTCCCACATCGCTAAACTATTAAGCGTTCACTCTGGAAGATTGTGTATATAAAGGAAGCTCGGTGGACAAAACAATTCATACCTTTCTCGGCCTTTTGGCTAAGATCAAGTGTAGTATCTGTTCTTATCAGTTTAATATCTGATATATGGGTCATCGGCCCATACGATATTAACTCTATTTTTTTAAGGGAGAAAGCCTATTAAGATAGCTTGCTATCTGGGTTTTCAAGAGTCGCCTTTGTCTTGCACTACTGCATAGGCTGGCTCAACCCACCAACAATTAAGTTCAACTTTTAGTTCAAAACAATTCTGTTTCAGTTTTTTGGCTTTTTCTCTGCAAACTTTTTTTTTTTTGGGCAAAATTTTTTCTCTGCAAACTAAGTTGTCTGGATCCTATACTATACTGAGATGTCAATTATGTCTCAGTTTGTAGATATGTCCTGTCACATGCTGTTAGAGATGCCAATTACATATTAGTGAACCAGTTTCTCTTGGGGATTTGAACATTAGAAGCATTATGTAATAGGTAAACACATAATATTAATAATTCGATATTTCAACTTCACAGATTAATAACTGATCATTGAATTGTTCATATTGCACTATATAACTGGACCATTTTTTGTATATCACTATATCAAAGAGACAAAGCTTCCAAAAAATCCCTTCAGATTATTTAACAGTTAGAAGAAACAAGGAGCACTATATGAAGAACTATGTTCTTGTTGAGCATCAAAAAACCAATTCAAGGCAAAGTTGGTTTTCTTATAGACTTCCTAATCTTCCTCAGAACACTCCACATAAACGTAGATACAAAGAAGAGAACAACACCAGCCACAACGGCTTCTTTAAGCCCAAGATTCACCAGAAAGTTCACAAGCAGTCCCGCTAACACAACCCCACAGAAATTAGACGAAACAGCAGACCAGAAAGGCATGTCTAGGATCGATGCAATGATAGCTCCTGTCCAAGCACCGGTTCCAGGGAACGGAACAGCTACAAAGAGCATTAGTCCTAACCACTGGAACTCTTCCACAGGTCCAGCCTTCTCTTTAGCTCTTTTGAATAAGATTTCAAGTAGCTTGGAACCTGTTCTGCTCTTACCCGCTAAGAAAGACGCAAACTTCTTGAGGTAAAGTATGATAAACGGAACCGGAACCATATTGCTGCAAATTTTTTTTAAAAAAAAAAAAAATCAATGTCACACCTTCTTCCTCATATAATGAAATCACATGAATATAGAATGAACATTCCTGTCTACCTTGTCATCATATGCAGAACAATTAAGATGCGGTTCTAATAGTAACAAAAATATATAGATATTTAATTAAACAACATAGCTCTCAGATTGCAACATGCAAAACAACTACGATGCGGTTCTAATAATAACAAAAATATATAGATATATAAGTATATGTAGAGATTTTTGTTATTATTAACTATGGTTTTGAAACGATAAAAGTTGCCAATCACCACAAGACATATATCAGTTGTCACACTTTTTCTACTACCATTATAACCATTGACACAGTTACAAACTCTTGTCTGAAACCAAATCAAAACAACATTATCAAACTAGTTTTTGTCCAAGGCTTTATAAGACTAACCCAAGAACAGAGAAGAAAGTGAGAGCCATAGGTTTAAGCTGCATCCAATAACCAACTGGTATAGCGCCACGAAGCTCAATAACCGGAAGTGTAGCCAAAGCAAACACAACAGCCTCGTCTCGCCAACCAAACCGGCGGAGAGAACCGGCTATTCTGAGACCAAAGGATGAAGATTTGATTGAGTCAGCCGCCGCGGCTTTGGCTTCGCCAGACCTAGCAAACCAAAGCAAAGAGACAGAGGCCCACAACACGACGCATATCGCGAATTTTAACGGGTTTACGTTGAGAGAAGGAAGATGGATGCTTTCTTCTTCTTCTTCTTGGGTGTTTTGGAGAGACCCATCTGGAGAAGAGTAAGATACAGTGAAGTTACGGCGTGATGGGTGGTAAAGACTGAGACTTTGAGTTTGTAATATGAAACTGTTTTGATTCAATCCTCTTGGAGATAGAGTGGGTGTTGGAGTGAGGAGATGGGTTTTTGTGGATGAGGGAGATAGAGTGAAAGGAGGGGTTGAGTTTGCGTTTAAAGGAACATATACTTCGGCTTTAACTTCGTTTGCGTTTTATAAAATATCCGTCCACACGGAAAACGGCGTGCAGTTTTGGTTACAGGACTGTCTGCCGTTTCTTATTACTACGCAATGTTTCCAAGAGCGTAAAAGCTGCAGACTTCTGTGTGTGCTTCGAGCTTGATTGAGTAAAGGTTCGTGAACCTTAAAATTATGAAGATCTTGATTAAATCAAAACAAAATTTATTGTTGTTATTTGTGTATATATCTGTAAAACAGAGAATGTGTAGAGGTAACAAAATGTATATACACACCTATGTGGAAAGTTTGCAATGACTCAAAAATCTCTCTCTTTAACATGCTTTTATACATCCAGTTTATGTCTACTCAAGGATCTTACACAAACATGAAGGTGCAAGACAATAGTTTAGACTTTTTCCGTGTGTGTATGCTCAAGTACGGCTTGGTACTTTCAAAAGTGCATCAAATAGTATATATAAGAAAGATTTGATTCAATTTCAGTTTGGATAATTCGTTTTAGATTATACTAGGTAATATTTAATTGTCAGATTTAGGGTGTTTGTATACAACAATGTTCTGCTCCGTGGTCAATGGTCAAAGTAAAATCTGAACACTTAAAGATTAAAATCAAAGAAAACACAATTTATTATAATAAAAATTTAGGCTAGAAAATCATAATCTATAATAATACAAAACATGTTTTATGTTTTCATGTATTTGTATTTATAATAGGTTTTAAGACCTTGCTGGTGGGCATCCAGGGAAACCCGGAGGACAAATTTTTGGAATTGGGATTGGGAACTGCTCCACTGATATCTTTGCATCCTGGTTTGGTTCTGGAGGAGGAAATGGTTCGGTTGGGAAGGGCGGTGGTCTATGGATTTGATTAGAGTCGGTTTGAAAAGGATCGGTCCTAGCTTGAGCAAGACCAGATGCAAGAAGAAGTGTAAATACCATTGTTATTGCAAAGAGCTTCATGATTTTGATCATCTTTGTGTTGTGATTGAATTGAAAATGTTTAGCTTAGTTTGCTTATTTATATTGCTGTGAACTAGTGACCCAAATAAGGAAGCATATAAGGTGGTTGAATGTTGCAGAAAAAAAAAGGGGCATATAACATGCAAAAAAAGAAGAGTATACACTGCAACACTTGTACCAGTTGAATGTGGACAAAGAAAAATATTAATTTATATTAGTTGAATATTATCTGTATTGATTTAGGAAAGCAAGCCAAATTACATATTGACCAAAAAGTAATAAAATATCACTTTAGTAATGGGAATGATTGGTAGGAACTGTGAATTTTGTGAGTGCTTTGCACCGAGTTTATATTTTTTCATTTAATTATCAGTCATAATTTAGTAAGAAAATCTAAAATCTACAACCCAAATTAAAAAGAAATATATTAATAATAATAATCAAGTTTTTTTTACATATTTTATTCAGTATTTTAAAAAAGTTTCAAAACAAAACTATAGTAATGAAATCTATAGATAATTCACAAAATTCAACAACTTAGATTCTAAAGCTAAAATCCTAAAACTACAACTTCTATCATTCGAGCCCAATGTGTATTGACTTTAGGTGGTCATTTATTCACCTAAACAACTGGGTACGAGACATTATGTTTTGGGCGAAAAGGTTTCAAGTTTGCATTTTTGCTTGGACATCAAGATACAACAATAAAGTGGCTGATCAGCTGTCGAAATTAGGATGTAATTCTTCTGCTGATTTTGTTTATCATTACTTTGTACCATTTCCAATTGTACATGTCCTTCATGAGGATTACATTGGTTCATCAATATAAGCATTGTTGGTCGTTAAAAAAAAAAAAAATGTCAACGAATATTTTTAGGGAGATTTTCAATTATACCACTTTGGTTGTACCACTTTTCATGTTTACTATCAATAAAGGAACATTTTCAAAAATACATATTTTATTAAAGCATAAAAGACTCTTATATTCTTGTTCTTTATATATATACATAAAATAAATATTAAATAAAATATTAACCCTAAACCCTAAAACATCAATTCTAAACTCTATGCCCTAAAAAGTAAATTCTAAACCCTAAAAATCAACCCTAAACCCTAAAATATCAATTTTAAACCTTAAACCCTAAACTCTATACCCTAAAAAGTAAACCCTAAACTCTAAAAATCAACACTAAACCCTAAACTATTAATCCCAAACCCAAAACCCTAAATTCTAATAGTATTTTGACTATTAAAATTTTAATGGTAAAGTTTTAGTGTAAAGTTAAAAAATGGTATCTTGAAAGTGTTATTTCTGGCAATTTCCCATATTTTTACCATTCAAAAACTAAAAATTTGGTCTGTTGTCAAACCTAGCGTTATCATGTAGAACAAGATCCTGTTAATACTCGCACGGCAAGAACATCGAAGTGAATAGCAAAATTATTGAGAAAACAACAATACATTAAACAGAGTTAAGCAGAGGACAAATCAGTAGTAGCATTGACATTAACAACAACAACAAGAAAGAACCCAAAGAAAAACAAAGAACGACATCACCAAATCGTAAATAGTCTCAAACCATAAACAAAGACTAAGCAAATTTTAAACATAAAACGTATTTTTAAGAAACCTTCTTACATCTTCTAAAACCATTTTATCTGGTCTTTTTGTTCAATAAACTGGGAACTTCCTTCTCCTTCCTCCTAACTCTTTTACCGTTGTTTTACCTTAACCATCAAGGCCTGGCTCTCTTGTTACTGCTGCAGCTTGGGCATTTGTAATGCTTGATGTGTTCTGCCTTTGCTGGTGTTATCTTCACACATTTCCCATGGAACCATTTCTCACACGCGTCACAGCAAATCCAGAACTCATCTGTGCCGTCACTGTCTCCACAAGCGCCACACACCGCACCTTGTTCATCGTCTTCGTCCTCGTCTTCACTCTCATCTTCTTCTTTAGGCGGTGGAGATGACATCTTTGGAACCTTTGTAAAAAGATTCAGGTTGGTGAGACAGGTTTAGAAGAATTACAAAGATGAAGAGTGAGAAGATAGTAAACAGAACATACCTTCACGCCGTTGGATTTGGTTTTGCTACTGTTGTTGTTAGCAGATAGATCCTTGGATTGCTTTGCGTTGCCTGTCACAATCTCGAAAATGGTTGGGAGCTCGTTTATCATCTGGAAGAGCTTCTTCCTGATCAATTTATTAGATAAGCTTTAGAGGTAAGGGATTACTAGTAAAGTTCAACCAAAAAGAAATAAATATACATAGACTTTATTTAGGCATTGTGTCCTTAATGAATTGATCATGCATTAGACTAATAAAAAGAAATAACTAATCAGAAATAGAGGCACATGTCGCATCTATTAACGAGAATCAGTTTAAATCTCAATAAACTGAAAACCACTTTCAAGTTTCAACAGCAAAACGGTGTAACAGAACAGAGCCATTGAACAAGACCACAAGGTGTAAAGAAATTCAATGAAATAATGTTAAAATAAAGCTCCGAGACAACACAAGGGGATGCTAAAATGTTCCTTATAAACTTACCACCACACATGAGAACCGAGAATACCACACTCAGAAAAAGACAGAGCTGAGAAGGAGGAAACTTACCTCTCATTCTTACCAAACCCAAAACGTGCACCAAAGTAAAACGCAACAGAAAGCAGCCAGGAATCACTGTGAACAGCGACCAAAGACACCCAATCCTTTTCTTGCATCCCATCTCTAGCGAAGTTGATCCCTAGAGCAGGTTCAGGAAGCTCAGGAGGAACTTCCTCAACGGGAAGATTAACCTCCCAAGTCTCATTAGGAAGTCCATAGAGGCACAAGTTCTCTTTCTCTGCATAAAACAAACAAACAAACCAAACAGAGGTCAACACTTACTCACAATAAAAAAACAAACCTTTCAAAAAAGTTTTAGATAGATTTAAAGATAAAAGCTTCAACACAGGAGAAATTTATAAACAGAATAAACACATTCAATTACTACTAAAAAAAACTAAACTCTTACTAAACAATTTAAATAAACAATAAACTTCCTCTTAAATAGGAAAACTATCACTATGAAACTAATAGCTCACACTGTAATGAACTGAATCTCTATTACATAAAAAGTAGAAACCAATTGATCAGTGGACAATCTCAGTAAACTAACATTCCATAAGAAGCTGAAAAAGGGAACAAAACTATTTTGCAAAAAAAAAAAATGGATAAAACTGGAATACACCAGAAACGAAACATGTCTGGATAAAATTTGAAGCTAAGCAAGACTAATTAATACCAATTGAAGAAAATAACTAATCTTTTACCAAACAATTTAAATAAAAATAAACTTCCTGAAAAAACTTACTCTTAATTATGAACACTATCACTATGAAACTATTAGCTCACACTGTAACGAACTGAAACTCTATTATATAAACCATTAATCAGTGAACAATTTCAGTAAAAATACAACATAACATTCCATTACAAGCTGGAAAGTGGACAAAACTGGAAAACACCAGAAACGAAACATTGTCTGAATAAAATTTAAAGCTAAGCAACAGTAATTAATTAAAATACCAATTGAAGAAAAAAATAAACTCACCAGGATCGCACGTTTGGTAAAACTTCACCATATCTGCATCAACAACAACAACAACATTAAATCTCACAAAAAAATTGGATCTTTTTTTCTCAGCAAATCTGCAAATACTCTTGTCGGAGAAAACAATAAATGTCTGAATCAGACAAAGCAGAAAAAGACAAAAAAAAAACTGACCGGTAGTGAGAGCCTTAATGAGACCAGCACGGCGACCTCTGAAGTCGGTAAAGACCTCTTCGACAGTTCGAGGGGTAGGATGAGTGATTACCTCCATTGTCGCCGGAGAAAGGTGACTGTTTCCGGTTAAATTCAAAATCTGAGACCAAAGGAAAGGAAACTAAAAGTTAAGTAAATTTCAATTTTGGTACTCAGAGAAATGTTAATTGGGGGAAATTGGGAAAAAAGAGAGAGAGAGAGAGAGAGAGAGAGGAGAGACAAACCCTAAAAACGAATTAAAAGGAATCGGTCAAAGACAAAGTTTGAGAGCTATGAGAGAGTTTTTTTTGTTGTTGTGACGTCATAGTTTTATAAGGAAAGACAAGACAACTAGTGTATTTATTAAATGGATATGGAGAGTGTACTAGTTATGATTGAGATTTGAGACTAAACTAAAGTTTTTGTGGACCATTAACAAGTCACATATTTAACATTTTCTTATTGTGAAAAGTTTTTAACTTCTATGTTCTATGTACATTTTTAACTATATCAATACTGATATAACTAAAATATTAAAAGTTGACACAAAAAAAACTAAATATTTAAATAATTTTTTTTGGGACAATTAAACTACTAATCTTCTTCAAAAACATGTTTTTAGAAAAAGTTCACAGCCCAACTTTAGATGGATTTTGAAGGGATGATATCTCTGGGCCAATAAAACATTAATGGGCTTTTATAGCAATCTGGCTGTAACGTATCTATCTTTGCGAGTTCCAAATTCTGTGACCTTTATTGTATAACACAAGTATAGTAACTAAGAAGTAAAACTAGTTCATATGAAGATACTACATGAGTACAAGGTATTATTATTATTGCTGTTGTAAGTCTACTTGTCTGTGTGGTATTATTGAGGCTGAGAGTAGATTACATTACGGAGGCACAGGATCAGATGGTGGAGAAGCAGGAGTATCTGGCTGCTTCTCTGGGACAGCGTTTTGAAACGCAGGGAGATGGTTGTATGACTCGTAACACTTTGCAAGTGTTGGGTACGGTTCCTGTAGAGATCCATACAAAAGAGAGAGAAAAAACATGTTTTACCAAATTGTAGAAGTAGAAACCAAGGACATCTATGCAATTGTGTGAGTGTGAGCCAAAGATAACATGTTCATGTTACCATAGAACTGATCAATGATTCTGGAAATTAAGGGAGTATATAGTTACCATGTTGATCTGGAATCTGTTGATAGCTGCGTGGATCTGTGGAGCTAGAAAGAGATCAGCCTGCGAAACAATGCTTCATGAGTATACTTTATAACTTTTCTACATGGAAGACAGTAACATAGAGAAAATCAAGAGATATAAAGAGTAAAATACCAAGTAAACTTCATCACCAGTGGCATATCTTCCAGTGCAGCCAACCAACAGCTTCTCGAGAGCTGAAAGAGACATATGATTAGAAAGGTCTACATAAAGCTGAACTTAAAAGTTAGCAAGGTTTTTGCACTCTTTAACCATAGTATCAACTTTGTTCATGATTAGTCTTTGTATATTAAGTGCCAATGACAAAAAGTTGCAGAAGTGGGATACCTGTGAATCCTTTGGTGAGAGCGTTATTGACCCAAGCAGTTTTCACCTCAGCATTTGACTTCTCCTCAATATACCTCTGTAAATAAAAAAAAGCATTGTTTCATCTAAGAACTCACAACAATAGACCATAATAAATATCATTGTACTCACAGCAACAGGCGTATTTTGATAAGGCTGTATGCCAGACAAGACAATACTCGCTGCCTGAAATAAAAACAAAGCAGAACCATTACTTGCACTCACAATCTAAACTGATTACTCTTTTTTTTTTTTTTTTTTTGAATCATATAGAGTTATCATGGTCTCACAGAAGTGATCTAGACAATTCACGTGTCTCACAGAAGTGATATACAGAGGTATCCTGGTCCTTTGTGTCTGGCGATTGAAATGTTAATTCCCGGCCGGGATTCGAACCCAGGTGGCGGTACTCACAGCTGTAAGCCCTTTACCACTAGAGCTAGAAGCCCCGGTTAACTGATTACTCTTCACTAGATTCTGACTTCATTTTAACCGTATTAACCACAAGGTTGTGAGATAAAGGCAAACACATGCATATTACCTGGTAATTTACAGAACGTTTGTGGAGGTCACGAGGTAAGAGAGGTGGCTGAGGATACTTCTCATCAAGATACTGTCAAAGTACAAAAAAAGACTGATGAAATGAATCCACAAAAAACTTCACAAGATAAAGTGGCTCCTGGTTAAATTATACTAACCATTATGATGGCTAGAGAATCAGAAATGACAACATCTCCATCAACCAGAGCTGGTACAGCACCCATTGGATTGATCTTCACGAGTTCATCTCTCATGAGCGGATTGACTCCTATATACTCATATTCAATCCCTTAAAACACACACAGTCAAACAAGATCAATTTAAGATGAAAAAAAACAGTATCGTTTGCCAAAATGAGTAGAAGCCAAAGAGGAAAGACCTTTTAAAGAGAGGGCGATACGGACACGATGTGAGCATGAGCTTTTGCAGTAAGAGTAGAGCTTCAGCTTCTCTGCCCCCGAACTTGCCTGTTCACATGGAAAAGAATATATATATATATATATATATTTGGAGTTATCATTGCTAGGCCGAGACTGAGTGAAGAGATATGATCTGATATCACAATGAGAAGATTGTATAAAAGGAGAAACGAGAAGGAGACTTAACCATAATCAGGATATTGATTCTTCTCCTTCTTCTTCACAGATTCAAAAGAGACTGCGTGTGTTTAGTAGTACAGAGAAGAAGTGGAAAAGTCGAATACGACGCTAGAACTACATACATACATCATCATATCATATATTAAAGGAAAATTTGTCCCAACAACCACAAAAACAACCAAAATTTATTAAGTAACCAAAAACATACTCATCTCTTTCCAAGTTTCTCTTCTTATCTCTCTTTACTCTCTCTACAAAACCAATTTTTTTTTCTCTTTTTTTTCTTTGGCTAGTACACGAACGAATAAATCCTATTTTAAATTGGTAATTCAGTTATTTATACCAAATATTCAGATGGAACGATTTTTTTTTAAACAGTATCATATGGATATCCAAATAATTAAATAGAAAATATCCCTTATATATTATTTGCGAAGTGATTTTGCCACATGTCCTCTCTACAATCAGTTTCACAAAAAAATGATGACATGTCTACTAAAATTGATGACATGACATATGATTAAATATGACATGGACAATTGCATTTAATGTTAATATATATTTTTGGAAAACTTTATAAAATATGGTAACAACTCATATATTAGATTTAATGTCGATTTATATTTTTGGAAATATTTTTAAATATGGTAATAACTCATAAATCATCATTAAAATAAATATATTCAAATATGACATTATAAATTTCCAAAATATCTTTTAATTATATATTTTAAAATTATACAATTTATTACAAACTTTTCAAAAATGTATATCTTTTTGAAAATTATTAAAATTTAATCATAAAATTATTAATTTCTTATATATTTACAGATTTAATAAATATTGTCTAATTTTAATTTTTGATAATTATAAATTTTTCTACAAATTTATTTAATATATTTAATTAAAATAAATAGATAAAAATGTATCTAAGATTATAATTTTAAATATATACATGCATATTCTTAAGAGAAAATGACTAAAATAGACCTAAAAAGTTTTTATCACAAATATAGACCTTAACAATTAAAATGACCAAAATAACACTTAAATTTTTTATTAAATATACATTTATACCCCTTGGATTAACTAATCCTAGATTTTTTTTGTTTAGAGTTGAGTAGTGGGATTTTGGAGATAGGGTTGCGAATTTAAAAAAATTAAAAAAAAAACATAAAATTTTCAAAATAAAAAGTGCTATTTTTGTCATTTTAATTTTTGAGGTCTATTTTTGTGATAAAAAACTTAAAAGATGGCTATTTGAGAGAATTACCCTATTCTTAAATATAATTTAAAATAAAAAATATTTTTCTATTATTTTTATGTTTAATTAAAAAATTGTATTAAAATAGTGATAAGAAAAATAAAAATAATAATATTAATAAAATTTTAATTTTAAACATAATTTGGAAAACTTTACAAAATATGGAACAACTCATATTAGATTTGCTATCGATTTCTATTTTTGGAAATATTTGCAAAATATGGTAATAACTCATAAATCATCATTAAAATAATTATATTCAAATATGGCATTATAAATTTCGAAAATATCATTTAATTATATATTTTAAAATTATAAAATTTTACTACAAACTTTTCAAAAATGTATACCTTTTTTGAAAATTATTAAAATTTAACCGTAAAATTATTAGTTTCTTATATATTTACAAATTTAATAAATATTGTCTAATTTTAATTTTTGATAATTATAAAAATTTCTAAAAATTTATTTAATATATTTAATTAAAATAAATAGATAAAAATTTATCTAAGATTAGAATTTTAAATATATACATGAATATTCTTAAATATAATTTAAAATAAACAAAAAAATTTTCTATTATTTTTATTTTTAGTTAAACAAAATTTTGTATTAAAATAGTGATAAGAAAAAGAAAATTTCTAATATTAATAAAATTTAATTTTAAACATATAATTTATATTGTATCTGTTAAAAAAATATTTTAAATTTTTTTACTAGAACACCTAGTCTAAAAAAAAGTTTGAAGTACTTTTATACCAATTATCAAGTTGCTTTCTTTTTAAATCAAGAAACTGTATACCAATTATCAAGTTGCTTTCTTTTTAAATCAAGAAACTGTAAGTTTCTCTCTTAAATAACAAAAAACTGTAAGTAGGAGGTTTGTTAATATCATGGCAAGGTGATAATCCAAGGTAAGCTTGACTGAAACTTCACAGTCAAAAACAAAATTTGACAACAATTATGAATATTTTAGGATAACATTGTTACTTCCAAGTTTTAATAAAAAATTTTGTAAGATAGTCAAATCAAGTGCTGTATTTTGTTCTTTGCTTTGTTTATTAAAGGAAGACAACCACAATGATTTTAGGTAACGTAGGTTATTATGTATTAACATAAACCTGCACAATCTTTCAATGTCTTTTGTTAAATTACTTTTCTTTGTAAGATTACCTATGTAAAAGGAACAAGACCCTTAGGTCATTCCCATCATCAGCCAAAAAAATCTGATCAAAACATTTGTTCCTAATGCTTCTCTCTCTCTATTGAACAAATAAAAGCATATCTGATAAAAGAGACATGGCCTTGTCTTCGTGTGACCACTAGTTGTCGTGTCTTTACACTTCAGCGGATCTGATGGTACTGTGTGATGCCTCGTTTTGGTGGTAGCTTTCTCAAGATGAAGAGGACCAAAGAAGAAGGTAATATCTCTACCAACTGTATTTAAGCAACAAGGATAATCAGGTTGCAAATGTTCATGATCAGATTCTATGACCAAATTACGAGAGAGCTTACCAGGTAATATATGAAGTTAAGGATGGGATGATCCAACACATCAAGGTCTGCCCCCTTGTTGAAAGCAGCAAAGCACATCTAAAACCATATTAAATGACACACAAGCTTAATTTGGTTAGTTGTAGTAGAGACGACAATCCAACCAAGGTGGTCAGAATTGGTAGGGTATCAACATAACTATATGTTTGTAAGTGTCTTTACCATGATACATCTGATGAGGAAACACATAGAGCATATGATTGTCACGTAACCAACCTACCATACATAAGAGAGAGAGAGAGAGAGAGAGAGAGAGAGGGAGAAAGGGTGTTAAAAAATCGAGAAGTAGAAAATAGTAAGAGACTTGAATGGCTATAATTTAAAATTGATGTTTCACCTCTTGGAGCTTTTTGCGGCGTCCGTTAGATTCTGCTGGAAAACTTTGCAACATTATGAAAAGCCTGCCATAAGAGATAGATATAATAGGATACAAAATCAAGCGTAAACAACGAGTTATAATCATTTTCAATGGTATGCAGATGACTCCAGTAAATCTAGTCTAACTATGAACAAGAATGCAAGTAACTATAACTGCAAGCAAGATGATCAGAATTTGTAATCTCATAACACAGTAGTGACTCTTGGCAACACAATCCCTAAGTCAAAATGATTTTAACCCGGTAAAACATAAGAGACAGTGGAAGTTCAAATGGCGAGGCAGAGAGATTTACCTTCCACCGTAAAGTAGAAATCCAAGGGCAGCAAACAAGGAAGTACCTGCGATTATAAGTTTGCTAGAGCGGTCAGAGAAGCCCTATAGATTAAGTATAACAAAAGAGATCTACAGTAAACATGTTTGGACCGAAGCTAATTTACCAGCAAAGAACATCTTTGATAGGATAACCATAATTCGAACAGGCTTCCACCACAAAACCAACCAAAGAGCAATCTGAAAGTAATGCACCGAGTTAGTCTATGGACAACAAGCCCCACGACCCCACAATAACAAAAATTAAAAAAAACTCGAATTTCACAGATATCTTGAAGCGTGCATGAGAATATATATACACCGAGTTATAGTTCATGGACAACAAGCCCCATGACCCCACAGAAAAGAATTTAACTTTTCTAAATTCACAAATATCTTGAAGTCATCGCACGGATGTACCTGAACTACATAAACAACTGCATTGATTGTGAAGAAGCCTGGCCTCAGTCCATCAGTAGACACAGCACGCGCCTGTCCAAAACCAAAGAATATCTAAGTACACATCAAAACCACAAAAGAAAACAAACTAT